TGGCCTGCTGTGTTCATCCAGCCCTGCACCTTGTTGTCTCTACATAAATGCAAGTTGTTTTAATCATTATCTTAGATTGAAAATATTAAATATCCAATATTGTTTAGCCATAATGTTCCTGTCTGAATATTCATTTTCCTTAAATTATCTCAGACATTATGGCCCATTCAGCTGATGCAATGGTTGTAGGATCCCTTTGTCTTGGGAAGCATTGTCTTACTAAAGTGTCAGCTCAGTGTAAGATTTCTGCTTGAACTTTGCAATGCTCCCCAGTCAGACATACGCTGTCTCCAACGGCTTCCAAAAGGTCAAGTGCCTACAAGACGTAATTGTGGGTGACTGAGATTTGAAGCTTTTTACATCTTATGGTGCATAAACTGTAGGAACAGAAGTAGGCCATTCAGCCCATCGAGTCCACTGCGATTCAATTAGATCATAATCCTCAACTCCACTTTCCTGCCTTTTCCCCATAACCCTTGATTCCCTTATCGATTAAAAAAAATCTGTCTGTCTCACCCTTGAATATGCTTAACAACCCAGCCTCAACAGCCCTCTATGGTAAAGAATTTCACAGACTCACTCCCCTCTAAGAGAAGAAATTCCTCCTCATCTCTGTCTCAAATGTGCTACTCCTTATTCTGAGATGATACCCTCTGGTCTTAGACTTTCCCACAAGGAAAAACACATTTCTCCTGTCACGTCCCTTAAGAATCTTGTATGTGTCAATGAGAGATCTCATTTTTCTAAGCTCCTGTTGATGCAGGACCAATTTACTCAACCTCTTCTCGAAGAAAATCCCTCCATTTCCCAGATCAGCCAAGTGAACCTTGTCTGCATTGCCTGTAATGACAATATATCTAGCCTTTGATTAAAGGGACCAAAACTGTCCTCAGTTTTCCATGTCTAGTCAGACGAGTACCTTGTATAGATATTTTTTAGTTGCTTAGCTCAATTGGGCTGGTCAACTGGCTAGTGATGCAGAATGATACCAACAGCATGAGTCCAATTCCTGTTCCAGCTGAGGTCACCAGGAATGGCCCAACTTTTCAACCACTCCCTCATCTGAGACATGATGACCCTTATGTTAAACCTCCACCAGTCATCTCTCTCTGAGACAGCAGTCCTCTAGGACTATGGTACTTTTACCTTTTTTACTTTTAGCAAGACCTCCCTACTTTATATTCTATTCCCTTTGAAATAAATCCCAGCATTCCTTTACTCATCCTATTACCCACTGAACCGCTATGCTAACATTTTGTGATTGATGAGCCCTCCCTAAACCCTCTTTGCTGTAGCTTTCTACAATCTTTCATCATTTAAATAATATTCAGCTCCTCTACTCTTCCTGCCATTGTGCATAACCTCATATTTCCCTTTTTTTTTTCCACTCTCATAAGCAGTCTATATCTCTCTGCAGACTCTGTCATCCTCACCACTTGCCTTCCCACCCCATGCCAGGCTAAGCTCACAGGCTTGCAGTGTTAAATCTTACCATCCCAATTCCCTCCAAATATCCTGACTGCTCAGCCAACATTGTACTGTGTCAAGGAAGGTACACTTCCAAGTAAACAGTCCTCAACACAATTAAAATAATCTCCCCTCTGGCAAATTGAATCAATGAATTGACCATCAGTTGGAGTTTCTTGCCGTTTGTTCTTAATATTTGGTCGAAATCTGTTTTAGTTTGTGCTAAAATAACAACTTTCCATTTGCACTTTGTAGCGGGTGAAAACCATGACTCTCTGGTTTAATAGGAAATTAATACTTCAACATTTCAATTGCAAATGAGCACCTTGATGCCTAGAGGTGATGGCACGGGGGTGACACATTGGAGTAAGTGTGTGCATTTGCTAGATAAATCCAACAGGAAGTCACTATTCTCCCTTCATTGTGAAGTGTATCCTCGTGATTGTTTCACTGGCAGCCGTTTTATCTTGTATGCAAGGAACAATACTGATGCACATTCATAGGGTTGTGCCATGACCATCTGACACATCTTTATAAAGCCTTCAATTTTACCTGAAGTGAAGGAGACAGTAAAGGCTCACAGCAGCAGAGTGGAATGGGTGTGTTACAAACCTGCAGCCAGTTTTCTCACCAGACGAGTTTTTATTATCCATTGACTGTCAGTCATGCCAGTGCTTGGACCTAGAGCTGTATTGGTACAAAATACTGAACAGGATTGTGAGTTGAGAGGGGAGTGCAAGGAGGTTTCAGACTGATTTCGACAAGTTGAGTGAGTGAGTAAATACATCGCAGATACAGTACAATGTGGCTAAGTATGAGGTTGTGCACTGTAGTGTGAAAAACAGAGTGTTATTTGAAATGGTGATACATTGGGAAATGTGAAAGTACAAAGGGATCTTGGCATCCTTGTACACCATCAATAAAAGTAGACAGGCAGATGCAGTAAATAACTGGAAATGTAAATGGTACATTGGCCTTCATTGCTGCAGGTATACAGGGCCTAAGTGAGACCACAGCTGGAATATTGCAGCAGTTTTGGTCTCCCTGCTTAAGAAAATATAGACCTGCTATAGAGAGTTCACTCAGCTGATACAGGGGATGGCAGGACTGTCCTATAAGGAGATATTGGTTTGACTGGGCCTCTACTGACTAGAGGTTAGAAATTGGAAGGAGTAGGGGATGGGGCGGGTGGGAGGGGGTGGTTCCAACTGAAGCATATAAAATTCTAACAGTACTGGGCAGACTTAATAAACCTCATAGTTTAAGAATGTTAGAACCAGGAGTATTCTGATCAGAAGTGGCTGCTGTTAAGGTACCAGACATAACTTGTGTTGGACAATAAGTTTGCAACCTTTGGATGGTTGAAGGTGATTTGAAGGGACAGTGTTGTTGACAAGTAAATGGAAAACTCAAAAAATCTCAACTCCGCTATGAATCATCAACACAGTGCTCAGACCAAGTTGTTAATTTTCCAAGTTTTGATCAATACCTGGCTTGAATGGTTTGAGATCCAAATGGTGTAGAAATTGTTGAGGCAAGTGAGGTCTAAATATTTTATTTTATAGATGAGTAATTCTGTTTATTGTATTTTTATTATCTTTAATGTAACTGACTATTTAAGTACAGTTATTATAACACATATTCTTAGATTCTTGATGGAGTAAAAAGCTTCTGTTTGAACAGTGAACTTTTGTGGCTTAATTCCTTTATCACAAATTTGAATTTTCAGATTATTAATAAAAAAGAATAACTACTGGTCACTCCCAAGGTCATAGTACTGAACCTATTTTGCAGTTATGATGTAGATCAATTTAATCTAAAATATTCCATTCAAAACATTAGTGAAGCTGAATGAATATAAACCTCTTTTGTTCAGCAGTTGTTATAGCTCACTGAACAGCTGATTATGTATCAACTCAGATTTAGTTGCAAATGTACTTCAGCGTTATGACGTGACAGTATACTGTTGGAGTTTTCCTGATGCTGTCATTTTTGTTTTTTGTAATTTGTGCTTACGATTAAAACCAAAATGAATAAGTTTTTGTTTTCTGAACCTTACTTTTTATTTCTACCTTACTATAGATCTTGATCCATCACATTTAGAGGGTTTGAAGAGGAGGACTGCTTTTCAAACCACACTAAGTAAAAAAAAATCTCAATGTGTACATGAATTAACAACGCATGTGTCTTGCACAGTCACAACTTTCTGACTGCCCTGAATGTAACTTTGCAGCAAGGTGTCGTGTGCATGAAAATGTTGTTCAGGTTTTGTGTCAAGTTTGCAGAAATCTTTCTTCTATTTTCAACGGACACTGTAAGTTTGAAACAAACTGAGTCCTTGTTCTACACAGACAAACTCGATGAAATTGTGTCAAACTCCAAACAGTCGAGGGCTGCGGAAAATGCAACAGCGGACTCGAGAGTTGCAACTATCAAGCAGCGTCCTTCCAGTCGATGCTTCCCTCCTACAACAGATGCAAATGTGAGTAAACTAATTTCTATAAGTGCATGTTTCTAAGGTACAAAAGGAGGCCATTTAGCCCACTATATCAGTGCCAGGTGAGAAACAGTTATAGAGCCTTTCTCCAGCTGCTGGTCTGTAGCCTTGTATTTCACATTTATATGGAAGCATTTTTAAAGGTGTTTCTTTTAAACATTTGCTTTAAAGCTCCTGCAATATGATTTGGCAATTATTCTCAATCTGACTGCAAGATATAAAAACAAGACAATCTCCTAACCACTGTCAATACAGTATGGAGCTAGGGGAACACAGCAGGCCAGGCAGCATCAGAGGAGCCAGAGTCGATGTTTCGGGTCAGGAATGAAACGCGAGTCTCCTGTTCTTCTGATGTTGCCTTGCCTGCTGTGTTCCTCCAGCTCCTCTCCGTATTGACACTGACTCCAGCATCAACAGTTCTTGCTATCTCCACAGTTTTCTAACTTTTATAGAAGGGCTTCATGTTCCCTGACGGTGGTTTAAATGTTGTGTCACCTCAGAACTGTTTATAACAAAAGTTAACCACCACTTATCTCTATGGCATTACCTCATGCCAGCCAGAAAATCACCTGTTTATTCTTATTCCCCCATTTCTCCTTAGCCAGTCATTCTTTTACTTTGCTAGTGTATTACACTCAAAGCCATGAATTCCTTTTTTGAGTATTAACCTTTCATGTGGTCCCATAATCTTCGAATGCCTTCTGGAATTCTAAAGGCAAGTAATCTTTTTTTTTGTGGTTTTGGTTCCCATGGTTTTACCAAAACACAGTTTTGACTTTACTCCCTATGGTTCCAAACACACATGCCCTGTTAATGTGGCACTTATCTGACTCCCAGCAGCTTGGAGGATGAAATGCACATTGAAACTCAGCATTGCTGGGTACGTTCCTGTTTGTGCAGCTCATTTTCGCGGTTGCCTGCCTCAGTTATGGCTGGAAATGTTCTTAAAAACTGTCCATAGCCTTCCAACTCCAGATGCAAACTCTTGTGCACGAGACAAGAAACATCAAGGAGATATTGTTTTTGCACATTTCCCATCTATTGTGGTGTTTTATATTAATGTTGGGCTTGTATTTTATACTTGCCCAACTGTTCCAAGAATATAACTCAAACATTCACATGGGTTTCTGTGAAAATGTGTTTCAAATAACAGTTTTGAGTTAATCGTTGACGACCTGTACAGTATATCTTCAAGCTCCCCTTTGAACTGACCATTTGTTATTTCTTTAAATAATTCCCAGAAATTGGTCAAAAATGATTTCCCTTTCACAAAACCACGTTGACTCTGTCTGTTCCTGTTAAGATTTTTCTAAGTGTGCCACTGTAACCTCATTAATAATAAACTTCTGCATATGACAAATGTTGAGCTGACTGGCTTATAGTTACCTGCTTTCTGTTCCTTTCCTTTCTTGAATAGCAGAGTCATATTTGCTATTTTCCAATTTCATGAGTCATCGCCAGAATGTAGGGAAATTTAGAAAATCAAATCCAATGCATCTACTATCTCTGCAGCCAATCTTTGGCAAGCATTAATGTGAAAGGACCTTCTCCTGAGGTGCCCTGTTTCACAGTCTTCAGCCAATTCAGTACACTCCAGGTGATATTGAGAAATGGCTGAAGTCAATGGATGCTGCTCACTGACGCTCAGTTTGGGTTCCAGCAGGACCACTTGGCTCCTGACCTCTCCATAACATTGGCAGAAACGTGGTCAAAAGAGCTGAGTTCCGCAGGTGAGGTGAGAGTGACTGCCTGTGATATCAACTCTGCATTTGACTGAGTGTGGCATCAAGGAGCCGTAACAAATATGGAGTCAATGGAAATCGAGAGAAAACTCTCCGTTGGGTTGGAGTTACCATGGCATAAAGGAAGATGGTTGTGGTTGTTGGAGGTCAATCATCTCAGCTCCAGGACATCTCTGCAGGAGTTCCTCAGGGTAGTGTCCTAGGCCCAACCATCTTCAGCTACTTCATCAGTGACCTCCCCTCCATCATTAGGTCAGAAGTGGGGATGTTCGCCGATGATTGTACAATGTTCAGCACCATTCGTCAGCACTCCAGAAGCTTGTCACCAACCAGGCCAAAGCAGCCTGTTTGATTGGTACCACATCCACAAATATCCACTCCCCCACCACTGATGCTCAGTAAACAGTGTGTACTATCTATGAGATGCACTGCTGAAATTCACCAAGGCTCCTTAGATAGCACTTTCCAAACTCTCAACCACTTCCATCCAAAAGGACAACAGCAGCAGATACATGGGAACACCACCACTTGCAGGTTTCCCAATAAACCACTCACCATTCTGAGTTAGAAATATATCCCCCTTCCTTCAGTGTCACTGCGACAGAATTCTCAAATTCCCATCCTAAGGGCATTTTGGGTCTATATATAGCACATGGATTGCAGCGGTTCAAGGAGGTGGCTTACAACCACATTCTCAAGGGCAACTCGGGGGCAGTAACTACTGGCCCTGCCAGAAAAGCCCATATCCATGAACAAGTATTTACTCAAAAAAATCCATCAGGACCTAAGGACTTGTCAGATTTCAGTTCTGATCAGTTTCCCAGTGATAATTCTTAGTAATTATAATTGTTTTAAGTTCCTCCCCCCACCCCTCTTTGCCTCCTCATCCAGTTATTTTTAGGATATTGTTTGCATCATCTATGGTGAAGACAAATGCAGAATATAAGACCATAAGATGTCGGAGCAGAAGTAGGGCATTCGGCCCATCGAGTCTGCTTCACTATTCAATGAGATCATGGCTGATCAGATAGTCTTCAACTTGGTTTCCTGCCTTTACTTCATAATCCTTGATTTCCCTTCACTGATTAAAAACCTATCTCAGCCTTGAATATACTAATGAACCTGCCTTGACAGCCCTCTGTGGTAAAGAATTCCACAGATTCACTATACTCCAACAGAAGAAATTCCTTCTCATTGCTATCTTAAAAAGCCAGCACCTTGTTCTCAGATTATACCCCCTGGTCCTAGACTCTCCCACAAGGGAAAATAACCTCTCCACATCGACCCTGTCAGGTCCCCTTAGAGTCCTGTATCTTTCAATGAGTTTGTACCTCATTCTTCTAAGCTCCAATGAGTACAGACCCAACCTACTCAACCTCTCCTCGTGAGACAGACCCTCCATACCCAGGATCAACCCCTGTGCTGTAGCTTTCTGTAGTCTTTGTCTATTTAAATAATATTCAGCTCCTCTATTATTCCCGCCAAAGTGCAAAACCTCACATTTTCCCATATTATATTCCATCTGCCAAGTTTTTGCCCTTCACTTAAACTTCTGTATCCCTCTGCAGGCTCTTTGTGTCATTCTCACCTCTCACCTTCCCACTATTTTTGTGTAACCTGCAAACTTGGCTATAATACATTCACTTTCTCCATCAAAGTCATCAATATATATTGTGAATAAATTTGGATCCAGCACTGATCCCTGTGGCACTCCAATGGTTACAGGTTGCCATCCTGAAAATGCCCCCTTACCCCAACTCTCTGTCTTCCATCCATTAGCCAATGCACTGGTGCTAATAGACTACCTCCAACACAATGGCCACTTATTAAATCACTTAATGTTTCATACCTTAACAAAGACCTTCTGAAAATCCAAATACATTACATCCACTGCTTTCCCATTATCTACCCTGCTTGTTATCACCTCAAAGAATTCTAGTAAATTTGTCAGACTTGATTTCCCCTTCCTGAAGCCATGCTGATTCTGCTTCAACATAATAATATGTATTTCTAAATGTTCTGCTATGAGATCCTTTCTAATAGACTCTACATTTTCCCAATGACAGTCATTAAGCGAACTGACTTATAGTTATCATTTTTGTTGTCTTCCCTTTTTAAAGGGAAATTAGCAGTTTCTAATCCCCTGGGACATTTTCAGAATCTAAGGATGCTAGGGAGATTACCACCAGTGCATCTAGTATCTCTGTAACTACTTCCCTTAATATCCCAGGGTGCATCCCATCAGGTCCGGGGGTTTATTGGTCTTTAGCTCCATTAGTTTCCCTCACACATTTCTCTAGAAATGGTGATCAGTGGTCTGGAGGCCACTGTGAAGGTCAGTGATCTGTAGCTTTATTTCCCCCCCCCCCCCCCCACTTGACCTGACTGGTCCCAGATAGGCACCAGAGTTGATCAACTGTCACCACTGACACTTTGGGAAAGACAGGAGGGGTGTTGTGGAGAGAACCTCCTCTGGAATGACCCTCTGTCTGCTCCAAATATAAACCTCTCTGTCTGTCATTGTCCCCATCCCCAGGTTAGGGGACAGCCGGTGTGAGTATGTTGGTCAATTAGAACAGTGAGCGGAGTGTCTGCAGCATCGATGGAGCTCAGTAGAGTATTTCATTTCCAAAGTAGCAGCACATGTAAAGAAGTGTTCTTCAGCGCTGAGGTCACTAAACTTGCTTTTTTTTAAAATTTCTAGTCAATCTATGACCGACAGAGTATTGCCGTTCTACCACCTACAGTACCCGGGAGCCACAACAGCCCCTATTTAGAAATACCACGAGGAACTATGCGAAGGCAGAAATCCATAGGTAATGTGATATTTTGATGTTGGTATTAAGCTGAGCAAGATTTTTTGCTTCTATTTTATTTATTGAATGTATTCATGACACGCACATGAGCTTGCAAAGCAATTCTTCGTACAGTTGTACAGGATTTATCAAATAATTATTCCTCTCCACTGAGTCACTTTCCCGGGAGGAAGCTTTTTCTGCTCAATGTATGTGTTGAGAATGCACCTTGCATACGTTTAGCATGGCTGTGATTAGACTAATTTAGTTTAAATGTCCATGTTCACTCTCGAAGGGCTTGACTGCCAACAGTCAATAACCCCTTTTATGGAAATCAAATCTATTTCTGAAATATATGTTTATGTATATATTTCTGCAACAAACTTCAAAGGTATGATTTCTGAGAGCTAATTGATAAAGCTTTTTGCTACTCTCATTAACTCCAGTTTATGTTAAAATTATTTGAAACTTGAGCATTCAAGCACATGGGAGACGTTCCTATCAACGTGTGTTACTGTATGAATGCTTAGCAGCTTAAAATCAATCCCCACAACCTGCCCTCCCCACCCCGACATCCTAATGAATTGGTAAACCATGATAAATACAAGGCCTAATACATCCTTGACAATTCCAGTGAGAAGACACTGATTGGAACACATTAAACATCTGTGCCATGCTCTCATTCACTGATTTCTACCCAATATTGGTAGCAGCTGCAATACATGACAGAGGGAAATGTACATGTTTCTTTCATTTTATTTATCTCATCAAATAGTGTCCAGTGCACTTTACATGTTCAGGATTGAATCTTGAAAATCAGTTTTTTTTTAATTACTGCAACCTGGAACTTTTTCAGATCCATTGCCATGACCTTCCTTGTCATTACTGTTTTATTTTGAGAACACACCATTCCAAAACACCAACTTGGAGCAGGAGCAGGCCATTTCGCCCCTCAAGCCTTCTTCACTTTTCAATAAGGTCATGGCTTATCTGTTTGTGTGCTCAATTCCAATTCCTTTATCTACTTCTGATACCGCTTGACACAGTGCCTGACCAGAATTGATCTACCTGCAATGTAAAAATATTCAATGGCCCCCACTTCCACCACCTTCCGAGCAGTAAATTCCAAAGATACAGAACCCGCTAAAAAAAAACTCCTCATCTCTGTCCTGATAGGGTGATCCCTAATTTTAAAAAGAGCCCCTAATTCTGACCCACAAGAGGAAGCATCCTTAATCACATCCACCTTGTCAAGACCATTCAGGATCTTATACACTTCAATCAAATTACCCCACACTCTTCAAAACTCCAGTGGAAACAAGCCCAGTTTATCCAACCTTTTCCTCATAAGGCAACCCAGCCAATCCAAACATATACAACCCACTGAAGCTGCAGAAACAGTAAATGCTGATGAACAAATGGCTAGAAAATGATACCAGTCTTTACACCCAAATTCTCAATATTTCTACTAGTCACATCACTGTTGGATAGGATCACAAGTATTGTTCTACAATAATCTGTTGCTTGTTTGCTAAAATACATTATTTCCACATTAAGTTTTCATTTATCAAGTTGACCTTCAGTTGGGCCTTTGTGTTTTGCTGCAGGTATGTTAGAAGAAGAGAAACAGTTTTTGGCTCCCCCTTTACTGAAGTTTACCAGGAGTTTGTCGATGCCAGATACTGCTGAGGATATTCCCCCTCCCCCGTCAGTCTCTCCTCCCTCACCCCCTTACAGTGCACCGAAACCTTCCACCCCCCGGGGCTACGGTACAGTAAGGCCCGGTTCAAATCATAATTCGGCGTTGAGAGCTCACAATTCCAATCGACCAGAAAGCACGGGGACAATTGGCACGGACCGACAGAAGAAAGCTATGTACTACAGGCAAGATTCTCAGCAGTATTCCTTGGATTCTGAAGATCAGTACAAGCCCAATGCTGTTTCACACCAGACCTTGAGAAACAGGAGGAGTAACATGCCAGAGAACCCATACTCTGATGTAGGGACCACGACCAACAAAGCTGTCTATGTCCCTGCCAAACCGGCCAGGAGGAAGGGCCAGCTGGTAAAGCAGTCAAAGGTTGAAGACAGCCCAGAGAAAACCTGCTCCATCCCCATTCCCACCATCATCGTCAAAGAGCCATCCACCAGCAGCAGTGGCAAGAGCAGCCAAGGCAGCAGCATGGAAATCGATAGCCAGACCTCGGAACACCAAGGTCACCTTCGGCCTGACGACGGGATCTGTAACCCATTCGCCGCTGCAATTGCTGGAGCGGTGAAAGACCGGGAGAAGAGGATTGAGGCCAAACGCCACTCCCCAGCCTTCCTGTCCACCGATCTGGGGGATGAAGAGGCCGGCCTGTTACCCAGCTCCTGCCTCAGGCAGTCCAAGTCTATCGATGAAGGGATGTTTAATAATGAAGAGCGTTACGGTCACCTCATGGTCCCATCATCAAAAGCTAGTCCCAATTCCACCAGTACAGAGCCAAGCAATCAGAGAGTTCACGGCACCTCCCGGATACTCAACATAGCTTCCAAAAAGGAAGAGATTGAGTGTAACGCAGTGACTACAAAAGGTTACAGTGCGTCAAACATTCCCAATGCTAACAGCAACTACGTCCATCCTGTCACTGGTAAAAAATTGGACTCCAACACCCCTCTGGCCTTAGTGATGGCTGCGAGAGATCGGACGGTGAAAGAGCAGCCCCTACAAAGCACCAGCAAAGCAGAACCCCCCAAGAGTGAGATCTCCAAACCACTCTACATTGACACCAAGCTGAGGTCCAATGTGGAGAGCTCAGCGTCTGGCTCTCGCTCCACCAAACTGAGCCAGTCCTCCTCCACTCTGAGGAAAGAACTCAACCCCAAAGCTGAAGTGGATGGTGGGAAAGAAGAGAAGAAGAAAGTTGCGCTGATGGATGGTCTGGACAGTTCCGAGCACAAAGCACTGGGGCTGCTCATGGTGCACACGGGGCTTGGTGCCAAGCCAGAGGAGACTGGGAACATGGAAAATAAAGACAATTCTCCAGTGACAGTCACCCCAGAGCAGCACAAAGGGACGGAAACAACGAAAGAACCCGCCAAGACCGTCATCACCATCAGTTCCGTTGATGAATCTGCTGTTTTACCGTTCCGTATCCCACCCCCTCCACTCGCCTCAATCGACGTGGATGAAGAGTTCTTATTTTCCGAACCCTTACCTCCTCCGCTGGAGTTTGCCAACAGTTTTGAGAGCTCTGAGGATCCCCCAGCCGTGCCGTCTCTGTCTGATCTGCTCAAACACAACAAAAACGGCTCTTGCGTCCCTTCACCATCACACCAAAGCAATGCCAGCTCCAGGCATTCAGCTGGGAACAAACCCATTGTTCACTCCGATTCTTTGCCCACGGGCTTTGTCCCACCGCGGGAACCTTGTGACAGTGTGGCCGATTCCGGGATCGAGGAGGTAGACAGTCGCAGCAACAGTGACCATCACCTGGAAACGACCAGCACCATTTCCACCGTCTCCAGTATCTCCACTCTGTCGTCAGAGGCTGGTGAGAACCTAGACACTTTCACAGTCTATGCAGATGGGCAGGCCTTTACCATTGACAAGCCTCCCGTTCCTCCCAAGCCCAAAGTTAAGCCCATCATTAACAAAAATAATGCAATTTACAAAGACGCTTTGATAGAAGAAACAATGGATGGGTTGTTCATTCCGCCGCCTGCTCCCCCTCCCCCTCCCAGTGGCATCCCACCTGAAACTCTCAAATCCCCACAGCAGAGGAGCTCGAAGCTCTGGGGTGATGGAGCAGACCCGAAAGTCCCTGCTGTCACCGATGCAAAGGCAAATGTCATTAGTGAATTGAATTCAATTCTGCAGCAAATGAACAAGGAAAAGGTGCCCAAACCGACTGAGGCCTTGGAATCTCCTTCAGGAACAAGAGGAGCAGCTTTTGGAGCAAGGTAACTGCTCAGGATCTCGGGTGTGGAATGCACGGTTGATTTGAATTGGGGAAATTCTTATTGACAAAAAATGTAATCAGTTATTTTTCTTAATGGCAAATGAACATAGCTGTAGATTTCAAGCTTTATCAAGCTTTACAGCAGAATGGGATTAATTGGTGAAAAAAGAGGAACGGTGGGGCATTCAGTGGAACGAGTTGGATTTGATGTTATATTCACCATTATACCAGTAGGTTCACAATATTTATTTAAAACTGGTCAGGCCCCTGTTCAAACAATAGAGCAATTGGAGTTTGATGTAAGCATTAACTTTGCTAATTTGGGAAGGAGCCTTTTCCCATCAACTGAAAATTGCTGTTGTCTACCTTAGCATTCAGTCCAGCTGGTTTATTCTGGTGTTTCTGCTCACTACATCCCAGCCTCCCTAATTCTGATAGCATTTCCTCTCTTCCTAGCTCCCTCATGTAGATGTCTGCTTTCCCTCCAATGCAATTAGACACTGTTCACCTCAATTACTCCATATGGAAGGAGTTGTTTCTGGATTTCACAAGTTTCCAATGTACACTCTGCAGTGGTCAATCCTCCCCATTAGCAACATGAGACTGAAGGTTTCCTGCTAAAATTAGTTCAGTCAGCAGTCAATTTTAGCTGATGGCATCACAGTCTTGCTAATGGAAAGGTTGAAACAACATTTCACAGACTAAGTTAGAGACAAAACAACTGCAGATGCTGGAATCCAAGATAGACAAACAGGAGGCTAGAAGAACAAAGCAAGCCTGGCAGCATCTGAAGGAAAGGAGAAGTCAACATTTCGGGTATTTGCGGATGACACCAAAGTTGGTGGAATTGTGGATTGTGCGGAAGGATGTTGCAGGTTACAGAGGGACATAGATAAGCTGCAGAGCTGGGCTGAGAGGTGGCAAATGGAGTTTAATGCGAAAAAGTGTGAGGTGATTCACTTTGGAAGGAGTAACAGGAATACAGAGTACTGGGCTAATGGTAAGATTCTTGGTAGTGTGGATGAGCAGAGAGATCTCGGTGTCCATGTGCATAGATCACTGAAAGTTGCCACCCAGGTTGATAGCGTTGTTAAGAAGGCGTACGGTATGTTAGGTTTTATTGGTAGAGGGATTGAGTTTCGGAGCCATGAGGTCATGTTGCAGCTGTACAAAACTCTGGTGCGGCCGCACTTGGAGTATTGCGTACAGTTCTGGTCACCGCATTATCGGAAGGATGTGGAAGCATTGGAAAGGGTGCAGAGGAGATTTACCAGGATGTTGCCTGGTATGGAGGGAAGGTCTTATGAGGAAAGGCTGAGGGACTTGAGGCTGTTTTCGTTAGAGAGAAGAAGGTTAAGAGGTGACTTGATAGAGACATACAAGATGATCAGAGGATTAGATAGGGTGGACAGTGGGAGCCTTTTTCCTCGGATGGTGATGGCTAGCATGAGGGGACATAGCTTTAAATTGAGGGGTGATAGATATAGGACAGATGTCAGAGGTAGGTTCTTTACTCAGAGAGTAGTAAGGGCGTGGAATGCCCTGCCTGCAAAAGTAGTAGACTCGCCAACTTTAAGGGCATTTAAATGGTCATTGGATAAACATATGGATGATAATGGAATAGTTTAGGTTAGATGGGCTTCAGATTAGTTTCACAGGTCGGCGCAACATTGAGGGCCGAAGGGCCTGTACTGCGCTGTAATGTTCTATGTTCTATGTTCTATGTTCTATTAATCTTCTTCAGGACTGCTGCCTGATGTGTTCTTCCAGCCTCCTGTTTGTCTACCATTTCACAGAATAAAACCTTTAATGACCTCAGTTTTCAATGAAGTTAAAGCATTTCTCGATCACAACAAAATCCTGTTGATTGAGGTAATAGCAGAACCGATGAACAATCTAGCAATAAGGAAAAACTTAAACAAAGTTTGTCAAAAACAGTTTCGCTTAATACAGTCCTCTCTGTAATTACAGGCCAATTTTCCTAGCCCCTGAAGTTCACATAGCTGATTGCAGACAGTATTTTTCTCATCATAGTTTAACATGTGACAAGAATATTTCAGCCAGCCTTGGTGATTAAGATAAATTCTATGCCAATTACCATAGGAGTTTGACAATATCTGTGAGAATTTACATACATATATTTGTTCATGCCCCCCTTTCCCACTCCATCAGCTTTAGGATTGAGCTGATGTTCTTGCCTTGCTGTTTATTAAGGATGCTTTATTCTTCATGAGTGTGATCAGTAATGTCCTGCAGCTAATATGGCAACTACCCTTCCAATTAGGCCAAACTAAATGAGTGGCTTTCTCCTAGTTCACGTTTACAAAGTTTGTTAGCAATATGTCAGATTGGGGAGTGGAACGCATATTAACATGGATTCAGTCAGTGAATGAATACGATCAGCGCTGTGCTGGGTGGGTTGGGTCTAGTCCAGTGCTGATAGAGTACAGATCGACAGTTAGCTCAGGCTCCTTTGATATGAAGGAAGGGGAATATTGGTCAAATTTTCCAGGGTTGCATACTGCCAATGCCCCAGATTGGAAGCAAAGGAATGGCCTTCAGCCAATCACCTCACTTCACAGAACAAACCTTTTCCATTCAACATAGAACATAGAACAGAACAGCACAATACAGGCCCTTCAGCCCACAATGTTGTACCAACCTATTATCCTACGAAGATCAATCTACCCTGCATACCCTACACTTTACTATCTTCCATGTGTCTATCCAAGAGTCGCTTTGAAGTCTCTAAAGTATCTGACTCCACTACCACTGCCGGCAGCGCATTCCACACACCCACCACTCTCTGTGTGAAGACCCGACCTCTGACATCTCCCCTATACCTTCCTCCAATCACCTTCCAAATCTTGAGCAAAGGCTTCACTCCATTCCTGAACACCTGAATAAAACACTACCTTGTTCTGTCATTCCATTGGGGGACATTCCATAGGGCGCTCAACATTTTTATTTCATTAGTCAGTTGTGAAGAGGACATGAGCCTATAAAGGGATACAGAGGTGAAGTGACTGGGCAAAGATCTGACAAATGGAGTGCAATGTGGAAAAGTGTGAAATTGTCCATTTTGTCAGAATAAAAAAGAAGCACATGAGCGAAATGGTGTGAGGTTGCAGAGCTCTGAGATGCAGAGGTATCTGGGTATCATGGTGCATGAATCACAGAAGGTCAGTGTGCAGCAAGTAATAAGGATAGCTAACGGAATGTGATGGTTTATTGTGAGGGGAAGTTGCTGCAAGAGTAGGAAGGTTATGCTTCAGTTGTACAGGGCTTTGGTGAGGCTACAGCTGGAGTACTGTCAAAATACTGGTCACTGTGCTTGCAGAAGGATGTTAATGCATTCCAAGCAGTTCAAAGAAGCTTTACTGACTAATACCTGAAATGAGCATGGTTTTTTCTTCATTCATGTGATGTGGGCATCACTGACTAGGCCAGTATTTATTGCCCGTCCTAGTTGCTCTTGAGAAGGTGGGGGTGAGCTGCTTTCTTGAACCGCTGCAGTCCATGTGCTGTAAATAGACCTACAATGCCCTTAGGGAGGGAATTGACCCGGTGACAATGATGGAACAGCAATATATTTCCAAATCAGGATGGTGAGTGATTTGGAGGGGAACTTGGAGGAGATAGTGTTCCCATCTTTCTGCTGCCCTTGTCCTTCTAGATGCAAGTGGTCATGGGTTTGGAAAGTGCTGCCTGAGGATCTTTGGTGAATTTATGTGGTGCATCTTGTAGATAATACACACTGCTGCTACTGAGCGTAGGTGGTGGAGGGAGTGGATGTTTGTGGATATGGTGCCAATCAAGCAGCTGCTTTGTCCTGGATGATGTTGAGCTTCTTGAGTGTTGTTGGGGCTGTACCCATCCAGGCAAGTGGGGAGTATTCCATCACATTCCTGACTTGTGCCTTGTAAATGGTGGACAGGCTTTGAGGGGACACAAGGTGAGTTACTTGCTGCAGTATTTCTCGCCTCTAACCTGCTGTTGTAGCCACTGTGTTTATGTGGTGAGTCCAGTTAAGCCTCTGCTCATTGGTAACTCCCAGGATGTTGATAGTTGGGGATTAAGTGATGGTAACACCATAGAATGTCCAGGGACAGTGGTTAGGTTGTCTCTTATCGGTGATGGTCATAGCCTGGCATTTGCGTGGCACAAATGCTACTTGCCACTTGTCAGCCCAAGCCTGGATACTGTCCAGACCTTGTTCTATTTGAACATTGTACAATCATCAGCGAACATCCCCACTTCTGACCATATGATGGAGAGAAGGTTGTCGATGAAGCAGCTGAAGTTTAATGTTTGGGCCTAGGATACTACCCTGAGGAACTCCTGTAGAGTTGTCCTGGAGCTGAGATGACTGACCTCTAACAACCGCGACCACTTCCTATGTGCCAGGTATGGCTCCAACCACCAGAGAGTTTGCCCTCTGATACCCATTGCTTCCAGTTTTGCCAGGGCTCCTTGATGCCACACTTAGTCAAATACAGCCTTGATATCAAGGGCTGTCACTCTCACCTCACCTCTGGAATTCAGCTGTTTTATCCATGTTTGAGCCAAGGCTGTAATGAGATCAGGAGCTGAGTGGTCCTGGCGGAACCCAAACTGGGCGTCACTGAGCAGGTTATTGCTGAGCAGGTGCTGCTTGATAGCGCTGTTACTGACACCTTCCATCACTTTACCGATGATCAAGAGGAGACTAATTTTTTTTATTCATTCACGGGATGAGGGCATCTCTGACCAGACAGCATTTATTGCCCATCCCTAATTTCCCAGAGGGCAGTTTATAGTGAACCACATTGCTGTGGCTCTGGAATCACATGGTAAGGATGGCAGTTTCCTTCCCTAAAGGACATTAATGAACGAGATGGATTTTTACAACAATCGACAATGGATTCCCGATCATCATTAGATTCTTAATTCCAGATGTTGTTATTGAATTCAAATTCCACGATCTGCCCTGGTGGGATTCGAACCTGGGTCCCCAGAACA